GGGTGGAGCCTGCCGCGGGTGGGGGTGACGGGCTGTGGCCCAGCGCTTGCGGGTGGATGAGGGTGATGCCTCGCAGGGGCCATTGGTGTGCTTCCACGTGGGTGTTTCTTGGTGTAACCCAGCCGTCAGTCGTTTTTTTAAGGTTCCTTCACGGTTCCAAACTTTGTTTAGGTGACCACGTTTGCTTCAGAGTGCTTGTTTATATACAAGCTACCCCGATCCCTGGTTTGATCTTTGTGTGTTTTTGCCTGTTCTGTGAGAAAATGATCATTTTTTTTTATTATTATTCTTTACAAGTCCCTTTGCACAGAGCAATGGATGATGAAGGGAAAAACTATGTTTCTGCAGAAGTGTCTGATATGTCGGAATCAGTTTCTTTTCTGAATGTAGCGGGTAAACTCTCACCTATGGAGTCAACAGCATTGCCTAATACAGAGGAACAGGAGGTGTGGATTAGTTTTGCAATACATCTGATTATGCTTTTGTTTTTTAAGCTCTATTTCTGGCAAATATTTTTTCAGTAGGAACTACTGTATTCCCCTGCCCCCAAAGATGCGTTTGATCTGCTGCTCATTGCTTACGAACAGATCACAGCCAGTAGCAAATGCACGTGGTCAATGCTACGTGATGTGCTGTGCTAAGCTTTTGAGAAGCAAGTGAAGGACTTCAGTGATTGCACTTTGAATGTAATGTGACTGTACTGTTCTTTTTAGTAAGCTAAAAAAAAGTATAGGTCCTTTTTGAAAGCTTGTTAGGTGCTTGGAAATAAAAATCTATAATGTGCTGCAGTACGCTTTTGAAGATAGTATAGCTATCTCTGCTTTTTTATGGTGGTAGGTTTCCTGATTGACTTCCATCAGGTGACTTAATTTTGTATGATTAGCAGAGTGCTGGTCGTGAGAGGGCTGTGGAGATCTCTGGTAAATCCATTTGCTGATGAACGAGTTGCCAAAGTAGGGACTTTGAAACTCTCTAAGAAAGTAAGGAAGGCTGGGATCCCTCTAAAAATCTCCCTGTTATTTTTGCCTCACCTGGATGGGGAGACCTTTGTATAATGGTACGGGATGGAAAAGCCCACCTTAGCAGCTGAGAGCTGTTTCATGGTTGTTGCTGTGAGGAAGATGAGGGGCTAGGTGCCTGGATGGTGGTAATGAAGCAGTCTCCTGAGGCGAAGAGTGTGTCAATCTATTAACTGAATGTGCTCCATACAAAATGGAAGTGCACTACTGCAGAGCAGCTATTAGAAAATAGTTTGAATTCAGTACAGAGGGAGACCAGAAGGTGGAAGCAGTGCAGTTTACGCCTCCAATGGTGTGCTCTTTTTAAATCAAAATCTTGGCTTTGTTGTAAAAGAACACTGGAGGGGGCAGGGAACAAAAAAGGAATTACTTGAGGACATTATGAGGTAAAGAAACAAATGAAAGCTTAGTGTCTGAACTTCACAAAGAGAAAGTGAGGAAGTAAGATAAAATAGCAAATACTCCATCAGAGATGTATGCTGATATGATTTTGGGGGGGTTCAACTTAAATAAGTGACCATTATAACTATATTTCTTTTTTAATGAATAGGTGTATCAACCTTTGAAAGTCTTCTTGAGAGTGAGACCATTTTCTATAGCAGAGCTTGAAAACCATGAATCTCAGGTTAGTTGCAGAATTAAGTTTTTCTTCTTGCACAAAGAATGCCTAGTATTGTAAGCCAGGACTTTCTTTTACAAAAGCCATTGACTGCTTCCACATAGAACTAGTGAACACTTGGGTAAATGTGATTTTTATTTCTTTTTCTATCACAACTTTTACTAATTTGCCTGGTAAAGACATGCACATCTGTAGCTCTGCAAAACTCTGCTGGGTATGTTGTTTAAAAGGTGATGTCACTCTTGACTCTGTACAGTGCTCAAGAAACAAAGGAGTTTCATGCAAGAAATTGTGCGCTTCTAGGAGCAATTCAAGTATCTGACCCTGGGGTTTCTTTGTAATGTCTGACTGATCTACTGCCTGGTCCTGGTGACTTGCTGTTCTTTCTGTCAAATTTTTCTATAACCTCTACAGCTTATACTGTCAGATTCAGATACTTCAGTGTTTTATACACACATACATGTACACATGCAGACACAGAGAAATGCTCTTCCTTCCCCACCCCGCATTGTGAGCACTGATGCAAAGAATTCATTTAGCTGTCCTTGGAGGACAAGGTCTCCACAGTGTATGTCAGCCCTCATGTTTGCAGGGTCCCAACAGGCTCTCTGATAGACCTCTTGTTCCTGACCTATTCAGAGAAGGATTTAGTATTAGTTCTGATTTGCTTCCTGTGATTTGCTTTTTAAAAAATCTGTTCTTGCATTTAGTCTGCCAGAGTTGGAACATTTGTATTTTTTTTCACTTGTTGTTTTTTTTTTTCCCTCAACTTCCATTCACCTTTCCTTAAGCAGTTCTTGTTGAGTAGTATGCACTGCCACAGTGTTTCCAGTTAGTATTATTCAGCAATCTGAGCTGGCTGTAAGGGTAAATTGATTTACGAAATAAAATTATTTTACAAGGTTTTATCTCTTATTCATCTTTGGAATAGGAAATTTCTGACTACCTGACCATTAGTGAGGCTACTTTTTTTTTAGAAACAGGGAAGGATGAGAAAAGTAAGTGTTGAATTTTGTATTAGACTTTTTTTTTAAAGCTCTTGTCTTCAGGTAGTTCATGATGAAATTGTTGTTCTTCCAACATATTAGCTGTAAAACCTGTTTTGCATGGTATGAAGGCTTTTTCCTCAGCCTCCAAAAACTATGAATGCTTGAAAGATCTTCAACATCTTCAATATTTTCTACTACTGATACTCTTAACTATCACCTGATTCCATGAAGAACATGCTTGGTAACAAATTTTAAAAAACCTCAACCAACCAAAAGAACCCATTCCTATCTGTATAATCAATGAGAGACCAACTTAATTTTTATGTTATTTTTAATTCCCTGCAGTACATAATTTTTGGGAAAGCATCTTTGTTCCAAATATGCAACAAGAAAAGAAAAAAGTAGAACCCAACCCCTATTTTGTATAGCTGTAGACTGATGCTTTAAACAGAGATAGCCAGTGGGTTAACTGATCTGAGATAGTGATTTATGCAAGTAAAGCTGAAGAGCTCTGGGTGAAGTCCTGTACTCTTGATACAACTGCCAGTGATTCTCCCGAGTCACCCGCTGGAGAGTGGAAGCTGCATTCTTCGTATATGAATGTTGTGTACAGTGGCAGTGACCGGCTGGATTCCAGCTCTGCAGATCTGACTTCAACGCCTCTACTCACGAGCTTCTATGAGGCAGGTGGCAGCTGATGGGACATGCTGCAGGTGTTGGATTCTTCTGTAGCCCTCTAGGATTTGGTACATCTGACCAGAATTGCTGTTCCTGCAATGTGTGGGAGGAATGTTAAAGAGTATATGGGTTTAGAGCCTGGCACAGTCTGCAAGTGATTGGTCTAAATTCAGTACCCAGCTTCTTAGAGCTTCTATGCCTGTTGATAAATAGGCTCGTTAAGTGAGACTCCTAGGAAGAGCAGGTACTTCCCAAGTACATGCTACACATGGATTATTCAGCCTCTGAACGTAAATGTCAGATTTAGTTACAATTAATCCTTGCAGCTGATGCCTCGAGATGCTGTTAAGCTATACTGGTAGTTCAGTTTGTATTTTTGGTAGCCAGTGTGGTGTAAAATAAGTTTTCGTGTGATACTGCACTCTACATTTTCTAGTTTGCGAATGCTAGGTAGCTGTATTTCACCTTTACTTAATTGAGAAATAGCAATCAAATTACTTGAAACTAATTCAGTTTCCTTCACTGCTGATAACACCATCTGTCAATCAAAGGATAATACTTCAGACTTATTTTACTTTATTTATGACGGTTATAGCTTGTTTCGTACTGACAGTGATTGAAGTGGAAAACCATTAGATTTCTGTGTAGCTTTGTTTTCAAGGCTAGGATTGTGCAAGCCATGATCACAAAATACCAAGGTTTAAAAAGAGTTTCAGAAAGAGAAAGTTGCTGGAAGGAATCCTAGAAAAATTTTAAACCTCTTGGAGAACTCCAGATGATTGCCTCAACCTTGTCTACACTCTGACTTTCATGGGAAGTGGCTGTCTCTGTAGTTGTTACATGCCTCGAGAGATTATATGTAAATTTTGCAACTCTTTGTAGCTCTGGTAAATGGATGAAAACACCAGGGTTTGGTTTTTGTTTTATTTTTTCTTCCTAAAGAATTTTGTGTGGTGTTTTGGTTTACCTTCTCTTGTTTTTTAAGGGTTGTGTAACTATTGAAGATCCTCAGACAGTAATTCTGAATGCACCCAAAGAGTCTTCTGCAATGAAAAACAGTGAAAGAGGGATTGGTCATTCTGTGCACAGGTTCACCTTTTCTCAGGTAGGCAAACTTTTTTCTAACTTAATTATAGTATGGTTTTCTTTTCCCCACTGCAATGCTAAAAATTGAATTTTGTGATATACCATACAGTGTGATTTTTCTTCTTTGAATTACATGTGGTGGTGGTACTTGCCTTAAAAGAACAGACTGCTTATTTACTGTTAGGCTGTCAAGAAAGCTGTATTACAGTGGAAGTGCCTGTTATATGAGACAAGGAAGCTTGTTGGGCAGCTCTTTTGTTTTCTTTGACTAGATGCCACAGAAACTTCTTGTAGGCACAAACTTACAGTGGTTCTGCTGTTCCTGCAGAAGCCCTCATCTGGGAAGTGTTACAGGAAATCACCTGCTTAAAAAGACTTGTGTAAGCATGTGTTTAGGAACTTACTTTTGAAAGAATAGCAGCCTAACTGCTTACACCTTCTATACTGGAAGTAAATTTCTTAACTCTGTTACCTACTGCAAGAACTTCTGTTCGTCTGTTCATACTTGCAGTATGAAAAGATAAACAGCTCCAACCATTGATTCATTTAAACCATTGTACTGCTGATCTTCTCATCAACTGTGGGTGACTGGTACAGAGTAAGGAGGGAGTTGTGCGTTACCAGCAGAGCTCTTGGAAGTATCCGCTAAACAGTATGTGCTCAGTAGCATCCTGAACAGTTTATTTTAGGAGTAGAAATATATTAAAAAAATAAGTTCAAGCCTGAGTGCCTCTCAGAATTAAGCAGGCATCCTTTGAGAACCCAACAGAAAACATTGAATTGGAACGGGTTCAGGCAAGACAGAAAACTAAGCTGGTATCTCCTACTCAGCTTGCTCTGAAAAACTACTTGCTATTAATCGGTGCTTAATGTTTTGATATATTAAACTTATATATGCCATTTATCACTCCTTTTTTACTTTCTCTTTTTTTTTTCTCCCCCATCCTCAAGGTCTTTGGACCGGAAACTACTCAGAGTGAATTTTTTGAAGGCTCAGTGAAGGACATAGTAGGAGCGTACGTCAATGGAGTGAATGGACTGGTGTTTACCTATGGGGTTACAAATGCAGGCAAGACATTTACTATCCAAGGTAAAAAAATGTTTGCCAAAAAGCATATATAACAACCAAGTCAAAATCCAATGAGAAGTTTATATGAATGTCTAAGTTTTATCTTTTGTTATTTTTAAGGGACTTCAAAAGATTTTGGTATTTTACCTCGCTCACTGGATGTGATTTTTAACCACATAAGGGGAAGACAGTACCTGAAGATGAACTTCAAACCATATTTAAGCAATGATGTTAAGAAACTAGAAGATGCACAAGTTAAGCAAGAAGAAGCCATAAAAACTGCTCTTCTTGCATCACTGAAAGAGGTCAGTGATCAAATACTTCCTTGTTGCTGAATGAAGCTTCTTAAAAAGTTCCTGTCTAACAGACTATCTTTACTAAAATATCTGTTTCACTACTGATCCTTTAGATTTCTCTAAATCCACAGTATGGATACTTGGTGGACTTGGAATAATATGGCAGCTGGCTGTTTTTGGAGCTTAGGGTAAACCGCTAGAACTTCCTGCAGCAGGCAGCACACAGTTCAAACCAAAAACCATTGCAAAGACAAAGCTGAGATTTCCATAGAGGAGCAGTTCTGATGCTGTGGTGACATTAGCCCTTAAAAAGTCGCCAAGAGCTGACCTGTCTAAAACCTGCTTTTTAAGTGAATCTTCTTTTCGGTCGGGTTCGTGGGCTGTATCTCTGGGCAGTTGCTCAAATTCCAGTACTAGCTCAGGAGAGATGATGGCAGTGTCTTAGCAGGAGCAGTGAAGAAGGCAGAAGAGTCCCTTTTGGTGGAAGACAGTTTTAAGGTGGACTCAAAAGTCTGTAAAGCTGTGATTTATGTAAGTTCATAAAGAAACTTTTCTGATACAGCAAGTGAAGTGAGGTGCCACAAAATTAACTGCCTAAAGGGATTACAGCCTGCTTTAGAGGATTGTATGTGTCTTTAACTCTGGTCTCTGAAGACTGTAGGTAGAATAGGGGAGTCTTCACTGTGGCAGCCTCCTGTTCTCGTTATCTAGTCATTTCTGTTTCCAGTGGAAAAAAAAAAAAAAGGGTCTCACCAGAAAATGGGCACCCTTGTATGTGTGACTCTTCTATACTTCTAAGCCCAGGTGCAAACTGTCACAAGTTGTCTGGCTCTTTTTTACCCTTATATTCAGAACATTTTTAACCTGAAATGTAAGCCTACTCCATTTTGGGATTATGATTCAAAGCAACTCTGAATTCTGGAAAGTATAGAAGTAATTGACTGGGTTTTCTTTTTTTTCTGTGGTCTTTAATACTAACGTTGACAAAGTACTCCAGTTAGCTCTGAAAGAATATCCTTCTATGAACCAAATTCGTATTTAAAGTTCCACTCTAAATTCTGTTGCTTGATTTGAACTCTGCAAACTGAACTTCATTTAATCTGCATTTAATTTGGGGAAAGACCTCAGATGAAAATCAAAAAGATGCTAAAGATCCCATATTTATTTTGAGAGTGTATTAAAAGCTCACTTGCACTGTATGTGTATGTGCAGGGTGAGGGTCTTAAAAATTGAGAGGGTCAGGAGGATAGTAGGTAAATATTTTTAAAAACTTTATGGAACCTACAAGCCTGCAAGAAGGAAAAAGCGGGAGCTCAAGGTCTAGAACAGGAGGTCAACTATCTTATTTTGAAGATAACGCTATACTTTACAAATAGTATTTTCTGTTAAATCATAGTCTGAGTTTATTAATAGTTTAGTAACTGAATGTTGCAGTAGGTGATTTAGATGCTGATGCACTACAGCGAAAAGCAAGCAAGACTCCACCATCAGGAAAGAAAGGTAAAAATCCATCTAGAAAATAATACATGACAAGACCTTGCTTGTCTTACAATGCTTCCATAGTGATAGCTCAGCTATCCCCTGTACTGAAGCTGTGCTTCTTGATAGCTCGTGAATAGCATCACTGTTCGGATACTCACCCAAACTTGTAATCTGAGAGCAGATAAGGTTTGGTAGACTTGGTTTTAGCTTACCTGAATTTATGTAGCCTTTTTCCCAGGCTCAGTTTACACGTTTTGCAGAAAGACCTTGCTGTTCATTTAATTCTTTCTTGCGGTTTAAACTGCTCTGAGTTACTGCAATACACTTGTTATTTAATGTTCTACGGTTTCTGTTCTCTGTACAGTACTGCTGCAAAAACTCTTACTTGGTGTGGTTCACACCCTCTTTTTCCTTCCCTTTAGTTGTTCTGTTCACTGGATTAAATACTGGGTTTTACTGGATTAATAGCTGCTTTACTCGCATTCCTATTCCCACCTGTCCTCGTATTTGCTATTAAATGTCAGCTTCTGTCACTGGAAAACAATGTCTGTTCCTGTTCCCACTTGTTTTCAGGCAGTCATCTTCATGTTCTTTTCTGCATTTGGTCTAATGATTTGAAGACCAGTATAGCAACATAGCTAATTCACTCAATTTTGTTGAAATACTTTTACAAAAACTTGTGCACAAGTACTGTGGTACTGTTTTTTTTTTTACATTCCATCACACTTTTGACATGCATAGATGTGCCATGCATGTCAGTCCCTTGTCCTGCTTTAGAATTCTGCTTTGTACTTTACAAAGAAAATGCGTAAAATCTATGCTTGTGGTTATACTTGTAACCACTCAAGCAGCATAAACGTATAAACAGTGCAGTCTTTGCAAAATGGTCGTTTCTAACATAACGTGTGATTTTGTTGTTGTCTTTAAAATGGAAGATCTGAAAGTATGGCTTCATGCTTTTCTGTTTGTAAGAATTTGGTTTTGGATATACTGAGCAAGTAACATAGGAATTGGTAGACAATCCATAATGAACTAGAAACTGCATTCTAATAGCTAGAACATTAAGGTTTACTACTTTGAATCTGTTCCCCTCTTCTACTGCAGGATGGCCCTCTATCAGGATTGGGTTTTGGGATATCAGGGTGAATGTCCTATTGAAAACTTAGATCAGTGTATAAAATATAGAAAGGGATGGAGGTAGTACGTGGAGGTGTTGGAATCTCTAAATAGTGGGAGTTGCCAATTCGTTACACTGTTCTTCCTAGGGGTAATTTGAAGCCTGTGCTTTGACAAGTTTTGGCAGATTTTAAAGTAATTTTATTGATGTAAAGAAATTCAGCAAATGTGTGTACTTAAAGAAACTGTGCTGTTATCTGTGTGGGATTTTTAATGGCCTTTCAATTCACCCTGAATTAAACCAACATACGCTTATCAGATCTTTAAGTCCTTTATGAAGCTGTCGTTTCACTCTGGGGTCTTAAAGTAATTCTGACTCAAACTCTCACAGACCTGGCACAAGCCTGTCATTGATTTGCAAAAGAGCTTTGCAACAAGCAAGCAAATTAGGAATCTCTAGTGCTTTAGTTTCTCTGTTGTCCACCACCCTGCCGTCTGCCCCTGGAAGAAACTCACTGCTCCAGTTCTTTTGATTGACAGAAATACTGTTCAGATTTGTCCAGTAGTTCATTAAGGCATTCCAGGCTGTCACAGATTGGCAGAGGATCTTGTTTCTCCCAGCACTGTAAAGTAAGTCTCATATGTTAGCAGCAATTGGCCGCCAAACCAGGTTGCTGGGAGTACCAGAGAACAACAATTCTTGTAAGAGAAGGAGCGCTTACTGATTTTAGTTTGGTATTGTTGAAAATGTTTGATCTGCAGGCAGAGAAAGGGGGACTTAATACTACCTCAATATTTAAGTCTTAAATATAGGAGTTACTGTCATTTTTTACTTCTGCTGTTCTCATAGTATGTTCATGTGAATGTAACAGTCTCTTATTTTCTCAAGGAGACAGAAAACATCACAAATACTATTACAAATGTGTGTGATGTGGAGTCGGCTTCTTTCAACTGTACTTCAAAAACTCTTCCTTCTGATTTCCTAGGTAAAATAAAGCGGAAAATTTTTGTGGGGAAAGAAGAGTAGAAATTTTAAGAATATGAGTGGGTAACTATTGGTGGGTTTAAATATCTTTATACTATACTACAAAGTAAATGTATGTAGTTTTTAACAATTTTAGTCGCTCAACTCAGGCGCAGGAGTAGCAATGAAAAAATATTTTGATAGCTTTGGCCCTTTTCGGGGAAGAGGCAGGCTTATTAGCGTTGCAGATGTGTATAAGCTGCTGGGCACTTGTGATAGACGGGGGCAATAGCTTAGAACTTGGGCATGTTCTGGTTACAGGTGGCTGCTGAGAAGTTTGAACGTTCTTGTGTAAATGCCAAGTCACACGGTACTGTGTATCTAATTGTACAACAGATATATACAAGCCTCCTCCTTTTAAAAGGTTCTATATACTGCAATTAAAATTTATCAGTGCATTGTCTGGTCATTGAACTCTTTCTCTGTTTTGGGTTAGCAGAGAACAACTTTGTTCCACTTGACACGTATAGGACTAATATACAGCAAAGAGCACAAGCATCTGTGTGGATTTCTTTTTGTGAAATTTATAATGAATATGTGTATGACCTATTGAATGTGCTATCTTCATCAAAAACTCAGAAGCGCAGAGTCTTAAGAATTTGTGAGGATCAAGGAGGAAATTCTTATATTAAAGGTAATAATACTGTTTTATGACCTCAGCAGTTTCACAGAATTTCTTTTGATGATCAGAAGTGTGTGTAAAATGTCTCTCTTCACAGACTTAAAGTGGATTAACATCCAGAGCACTGAAGAAGCCTGCAAAATACTAAAATTAGGAAACAAGAACCGAAGCTTTGCTTGTACTAGAATGAATGAGCAATCGAGTAGGAGGTTTGTTCCTCTAACTATAAGCATACTCTGTCTCTTTTCTTTTAAGGGGGGAGGAGAAGACTTCAGAATTTGTTTGAAATGAGCCACTCTTCAATAATAGCTTGAGACTTTCCTTGATGATTCTGTTTTTATTATGAAATTCTTTCTGGAAGAAAGCTAGGAGAGTCCCTATGACTTGACTAGTAGCTGGATTTGATATGCCATTCGTGGCTTTGGACAACTGAAAAGGTCAAATTGCATTAATTTTTGAGTGCCAACAGTGCTGTACATCTTGGCAAATGCTAATGGCGCTGAGCGGGAATGGCTGTGTGAGGATGTTGAAGGAGAAGCTGGATAATTCTTCATCACTGACAGCATAGTTCTTGGAAACCTGGAGCCTGTCAGTAGGGGGTGTAGGAAGGAGCGAGTTGTGCAGTACCTTGGGCTGCTGCTAGATTATCTGGATGCTTTTATGTTGCTGCGTCCTAGCTGAGCTGAATTGATATCTTACGAACTAAGCCCCTAGCTCTTACCCAGCTCTGGGAGAGGCATCGGGGAGAATCTGGTTTGATGGAGTGGGAGGAAATAGAGAGGGTGGTACACTTTCTGTTGAAAATGCTTTCTTACTTGATTTTAATGCCCTCTTATTAATTTGTCCTTTAAGTGTGGAAGGGCCATGTTGTATGTTTAGCTAATATAATCTTAGTGTTGCTAGGCCTGCTTTTTCTCTAGAAAGCAAGAATTATGCTGTTCTGTGTTATCTAAAGACAGATGCCATTAAATTTCATGCTGTGATTCCACCTGAATTTCACTCAAGCCTAAAGTAGTACAGAAAAGAATTGTGTGCTTTTCTGTCAGTTTTGTGCCTAGAATGTCCTTTTTTTACTCTAGAGAATATGCTGACTTCCACTTAGCTTGTTTCTAAATTGAGTTTTTGGTGGGTTTTTTTGGTGTGTGGGTGTTTGTGGTGTTTTTTTGTTGTGTGTGTTTTGTTTTTTTTTTAGAAACGTCATTCTTAAATTGTGGCTTGGTGCTGAGAAGTAAAGCACTGCTTTATATCTATACTACAGAAGTCTGATTTTTGTGCTTCCTGATTTGCTGGATAAACTGGGCACAGGGCACTTCTGGTTCTGGGATTTTCTCTTTGGTTTTGGACAGCCATGTCCACTGCCTTTGTAGCTTGATGTCTAAAACAGAATGATTGGATTTTCAAGTATTACAAATTCAACCTTTCTAGAAAACTGAATAAATAACTGTTTGCTGAAGTAGGCAAAATTATAGGACTGTCAAACCTTCCTTATTCCCTTTCCCCACTGCCTAGTTATTTCTAAGAAGTTAATTCTTTAGTTTTACAGAGTTCAGATACTGTTTAAAGTTCGCGTACGAAGTGGCTACCTGAGTACTCATCTTCTGATCAGTACACTTAGGTGATCTAGCTTGTTCTTTCTCTAAGACAGCTTGTAGGCTTCATGTGGTGTTTTTCCTTCTCCTGTGTTGAAAGAAATGGAAAGTCACAAAATACAACTTTTATTGCTGTTTTTTGCTGCTGAATGAATGCATTGTGGAGGTAACTAATGTAAATTAGTGAATTAATTCTTGTTTGTTCTTCAGCACTGAACTTTCTGTAGAATACAAATTTTACTTTGCTTCAGTGACTGCTTATTTTTTGTAATAGTGGTTATTAAAAAGGACTTCTTTCCATTCCAGTCACAGTATATTTTCGATCAGGCTACTAAGGCTAACTGATGAGCACCAGCCGCATGTTCTTGGAGTTTCAGAGTAAGTGAATGCTTCAGCTGGTTGTAAGAACCATAGGTATTTTGGAAGAATTGGTCAGGTGTAAGTGTGCTAAACTGGTGAACTTTCGTTTAATAAACAAATCTTCTGAGCGCTGAGAATGAAATCAGAACTACACTGGCTGCATCTGACTCAAAACCTGATAGGGACAGGCATAGAAGTGTTTCCCTGTCTCTCTTATTCTGTTAATGTTTGTCTGCAGGAGCCTGTTAAAACTCTGTCAGTAGTACATAAATTGAGGGAAATATACTTATACTGGGTTACATAATAGGGGTGGGGACAGAGTAGTACTGTGTAATACCATGCTAAATACTCAGGTAAGCAGAAGTCAGATGACTGGCTGATAGAAGCCAATCTTTAAAGTCGCAGTGCAGCAGGTAGTGCTGAAGACCAAAGGTGCAAGCTATGCCAGTGTATCTTTCTGCTTTAGGACTAAACTAGAGTTATGGTTGGATGTCTGTTTATGGCAGCACATTTGATGTACTTCTGGAAAGTCTATCATCCAAAAAGAATGCAGGTGACATGCTGTGGAACTGCTCCATGGTATAGTCTACAGTAAGAGGGGATTGTCAGGTGACTGGTTTAATAACTGTTCTCATCTAAAATGCTAATGTAGGTGCACCCATTAAGAGCAGTGCTAAGTCCTTGCGCCTTTCTGTTCTTTTGTAATTTAGAGGAAGAGTTTGTATGTTGCTTTAGAAAGAAAAAAGCTCTTCATCTTATACTCAAAATTATAAAGGTCATAAGATCATAGCCTTTCACACAGTTGAAATATGTTCTTTACTAATATGTATACTATTAATATGTGCTTATTTCAACTCTGATCTTAAAAAGGTGTCCTTATATGTAAATAAATGTATGTATAAGTGACTAATAGTTGGGTTACATAAATTATCTAACTTCTAGAGGTTCTGTATTTCAAGGTCTTTCTTAATGTAAAGAAAAAGTGGTGAAATTCCTTGATAATCCAAGATTAACTGTCTCTGTAACCTATTGTACCTTGAGGGACGATTCAGTAGCCTGAGTTTAGTAGCACATAATCGCTATAGCCAAAGAGCTCTCAAGTGATCTGGGAAGGACTTCTGGCCTCTTATCTGCTACAGTAAACAAATGGTTCTGGGTTCAAGAGAGGCAGACTGCAGTGTACCGAAGCGCGCTACTATCCTGCAATCCTCTCAGTGCTGGAACTGGTGAAGGTGATGGTCAAAGTGCTTCTATAGTATAGCCCCAGAATGCAAAACTGCTTCAGAAATGCCTCTTGTCTTGTCTGGAAGTACTTTAGGATTGCAACAAAATTTGGATTCCTAAAATGAATTCTTTATGTAAGAATTCGTACAACGTTTTAAAGAATGCTATAGGCAAACTTCTTCGAATGTGCTGAATAGACTGTCTTAGGAGCAGCAATCTTGTTGAAGTATCTTTTTATACAGTGGGAAGATAGGTTAGTGCTGTTATCCTAAATACCTTGTGTAGTGCCTTCTGGACAAAACATCAACGTTAAAGTACAACTTATTCTGTGATCTAGGTAGCTTGAAATGAGTCACTCACAGTTTAGACACATAAAGAAATAAAAAGACATGCAGTTCTGTTTTCATACGGTTTAGAAGTAAGTCTGTATGTATGTTCTGGATAATTCTTTCATGCAGGTTGTCTTTCTGTGACTTGGCTGGATCAGAGAGGTGTGATAAAACACAAGCCTTTGGAGACAGACTGAAAGAAGCAGGAAACATTAATAATTCACTTCATATCCTTGGAAAATGCATTGCAGCATTGAAGCAGAATCAAAATCCGAAGTAAGTGACAAGTTGTGAACAACATGCCAAGTCTTAGGTTGAAACCTTAAGCATCCCTTTCTGTTTCTGTGGGAGGTCCTTGTGATCAGAGGAAAATGGAAATCTACAAAATCTTGTGAGCTGTCTTTATTACAGGGGAACATTATTTCTCTATTTTGTTCTCTTCCTTTCCTCCTCCAAATTATACAGGTAGATTAATCAGGCATTTGACAGATGTCCTGTGCTTAGCCTGTTGGCTTGTTCCAGGATCTGCTATCTAACCCTAGGGAACTGTGATGCAGACACTATACTACTCTTACTTTTAAGTACTTCACTTTGTTGGAGAGCTTATGAGATCCAGGAAAAACCTTGCTCTTTGATGTGAAATACCTTAGGCTTAAATATGAGCATCCTGTTGGATCTATTTCCTGAAAGAGAGGAGCTGTTGGAGTGGGTCTAGAGGAGGGCTGCAAAAATGATCCAAGGGCTGGAGCACCTCTCCTATGAGGGAAGGCCGAGAGAGTTGGGGCTGTTCAGCCTGGCAGAAAAGGCTCCGGAGAGACCTTATAGCAGCCTTTCAGTACCTGAAGGGGGCCTACAAGAAGGCTGGAGAGTGACTTTTTACAAGGGTATGTAGTGATAGGACAAGGAGTAATGGTTTTAGACTGAAAGAGGGTAGATTTAGACTAGCTATAAGGAAGAAATTCTTCACTATGAGGGTGGTGAGGCACTGGAACAGGTTGCTCAGAAGTTGTGGCTGCCCCCTCCCTGGAAGTGTTAAAGACTGGGCTGGATGGGGCTTTGAGCAACCTGGTCTAGTGGAAGATATCGCTGCCAGTGACAGGGAAGTTGGAACTAGATGATCTTTCGGCTCCCTTCCAACCCAAACCATTTCAGGAACAGAATTAAGTGAAGTTACAGTATTACACAATTTTACTTCTTATAATTTCACAATTTCATTATTCTTTTATCCATGAGGATGAAGCCAAGCTATATTCCATTCAGAGAGAGCAAACTGACTCGTCTGTTTCAGCCATTCTTTTGTGGAAAAGGCAAAGCTTGTATGATTGTCAACATTAATCAGCATGCTTCCACATATGATGAAACATTACATGTAATGAAATTTTCAGCTATAGCCAAACAGGTAAGAGTGCATCTACTTTCTCTGATCAAATTGTATGGACTTGAGTCTGATTACGACTTTTGATGCATCATATTAATTCTTCTGCATGTGGCTTCCCTCTAAAATGTTTCCAGTAGTCTTGCCCATCCTCAAACCTATTTGTGGTAACAAGATAGCTGCAGCTGTCTGTGGCTTGTTCAGTTCTACACCACAGACATTCTGTCTTGAAAAAAAAAAAAAATCAAAAAACAAAAAACAAACCAAAACCAATAGTCAGGGCACTTTTAGATATGACTGGTCATACCATGTATCTGAGCAAATGCAAGATTTCGATGCAAGCTTTTGATGAATCGCTTAACCTGTGTGAAGTTAAGCATCTGTTGTCCAAGATGACAATTGCTGAAAACTTCTTGGACAGCTAGCAGTAGTAGTAAAAGGAGTAGCCTCTTATTTTGTAGTCTGAATGAGATCTCTTGCGCCTGCATTGCTCCTGTTCGGCTAAGTGCAAGTAACTAATAACAAACAAAAAGGGAGGACTTGTTTTGTAACTTGACACTTGAAGATAGTGTGCTCCTCCCCTTTGAAGGCAAAAACCCCTCTGGTAAAACTACGTGCTTTCATGCTTTTTCTGCTTGCTTTGCTTGTCAGCCTCCCATTAAATTCAGGACTTGGGGTAGATGTTTGGTCTTAAGTCCATTCAGCTTCCCTGGAAACTGCTTCATGTAGGGGGTCAGATGGTGGGATGTAGTATGTTTCATGGCAGAAATAAAGTCCATTTCTGTTCTGGAACCATGGATTAGTTCTGACACGTTCCAAGTCTGTAAGGGCATGTCTAATTTGACCTCGGAGAAAAAGATTTTTCTAATTCTATTCAGCTGCAACTCATGATAAGATGAGTGCGTGCACGGAGGAGATAAGCTTCTCTGATATGTTGTCCTATGACATACATACTTGAGTCTTTATGTAAGTAGCATGAATTGCTGAATCCTGCTCACATTATTTTAGGAAGCAGCAAATGTTTTAGGGAATTTCTGCTTTTCATTAACTTTCCAAGAAACTACACCAAAACCTTATATTTTAGGGGGAGAGAAAACACCTTTCTAGACAAGCATACTAAGGTTTTTAGTAGATAATCTTTCTCATTTTCACTTTGTTAGAGTACTAAAGTCTTATATTTGTACTGATAGATGGTTTTGTCTGCTAAAAGACAAGTAAAATTTTGCTGATGTTCTTGGAATCATTAAATATAGTGTAAATACAGCAATACATTCATGCCACTTCTTCCCAGTGTTTTGATACCTGCAATATTGACAACATTGATAAATCAGTGCATTCAACTCTGGATTTTCCAGGTAATCCAGACAATCCTACCCAAGTGTTTTAGTTATTTTCCACCCAAGCTAGTTGGAGGCGACAGCAAACCTATCGTGCACTTTGATGCTAACACGTCTGTAGAGGACTTCCCTGACAGTACTGAAACCTCTGCAGAAGAGGAAGTGGACATCACCATTCTGAGTCATGAGGTAGATATATGTATACTCAAAATTGTACCCAAGAAAGCCATTGCTACTAGTTCTAATGTTAGAATCTTTTACCATAGGAGGTGTGCTGGAGGCTGTATCAAAAGAGAACTGCAAGCTTCTGCTTAGTGTCAGGCAGACCTAAACAAGTCTACTTCTGAGGGAACAAGTGTATCTGTGGAAGGCTGCCTGCGACTTTCTGGTTAGGCCAAGTGCTAAATTTGGAATTCAACTGATTGCTCAATGAGAAAAGTTAGGAAGCAGTATGTGTGTTTTAAACAATGTTATTTAGTTTGTGCTTTTTTGGGAACAGCAGGAAGAAGTCAAGATGAAGCATTTTAAAAAAAAGCTATACAATCTAATAGCAATAAACTGTGAAAATCAAGTACGCTTTATGCTAAACAGTTGTACAAATTCATATTTAAATGCCAAAACAGTAGTAAACATTTTGCTAACAGAAACCATCAAGGCATGGTGGTGTTGAGTTGATGGTTGGACCTGATGATCTTAGAGGTCTTTTCCAACCTTAATGATTGGAAAGAAGATGGAGAAAGGTTGTCTTTGTAGTAGAAATTAATGTTTGAAAATATTTAACTTTTGGTGCAGCCCCCCTGAGAATATAGGCTTGTAGAAATGCCCTCTGTGGATGGCTATCTGTATGAATATTTCATTTGACATGCATATCAATATGTGTTTCTAGCTTGTTTTCTGAACTGAAATATGTTAAATTTAGGATCTCTTGAAAACTACAGAGAACCTAAAGGAGAAGCTAGTTGCAGAAAGGCAAAGTAAACTCCTTCTGGAGGTGAAGATACGTAGAGAGATGGCAGAAGCAATGTTCCGACAGCTGTTGGAAACAGAGGAAGCCTGGAGGCAAGTCATATTGCAGTCCTCTTCAAGACTGAAAGGATTCCACATAAATAATTGCATATATTTATATATGTATATACACCTATCTATGTATAAGTATATGCAAGACATGCATGCTTATGTTATTTAGAGAAGCTAGGGCTGGACAAAGCTTGTGATGAAAAGGGAAAAAGGAATGTTAAAGTAAACTTGTACAGATCGGCCTCTTCCCATGTACAATGAAGAAGTAATGCTGTTTTCTGTTGAACTTTTCTCTGTTTAATCTGTAGTTACTGGAGATTGTCCTGACTCATTATTAGTATTTAGCAGATGTGGAAGATTGTTACAGATGCCCCACTGAAGCTTGTGATTGTTCTAAAACTTACACTTGGTCACGTTAATATGCACACATGTGTTTAAGGTGGTTTGAATTTGAGCTCTCCTGGATGAATTAAGAACCATTATAAGTTTACTGTCTTATAAATTACTGTGGTTGCCTGCAATTATGTTACTAATTTGGGGATTTTTTTCAAGTGTCCAGGTTACTCAAGCTGAATTCACTTCTTAACTCTTCTCTTCCTGAAATCAATTTCCTGCTGTTTGAATTGCTAACAGAGACTAAGCCCAAGTTAAGTTGCCAGCTGAACACACTATGGTTCAACACCTGCACTGACTTTAAAATTGTTTGGGTGCCTTTGGCCAAACACATGAAACAGCAGTGATGCTTTTTCTCTGTTGACGTGATGTTCTATGTCACTGCTGGGGCATTTTTAAAGATTGTGACAGAAGTAATGTGTAATGTGCTGAAATAGTAAGACAAAATCTTTATCTTTAATGGATGAAAAAAAAAATCCCAAATCCCAATGTGAAAGACACCCCTCAGAAAGATGCTTCAAATGTTATATCTAATTGGGTGTAGTCATATCTATCACTACATATTGGTGGATTTTTTTTTTTATGAAACTTTTGTTTGACAGATCTTAAGTATGTGTGCTTCTATAGCACTTTTCTTGGTATATGCCAAGTAGAGGTTATGCCTTGGTGCAAGTCTGTAGGATCACTGAGAACGAAAAGGAGAAAAGGGAGAAAAGTACTTCTTGGTCTCTTAACTTCACCATTTATGATTAGATTAATAACTTTGATAGTGCCAGTTGAACACATGTAATCAAACTGTAATAACTGGAATGCTAATAAAACTAACATGTTCTCCTCAGCAACCGCTTAGAAGATATGAAAGACAGTTATGAAGAAAAAATGGAGAGCAAATTTGAAATGTATAAAGAGGCCATCAAGAAACATGCGTATGTGTGTGCAATGGAACAAATTGAAGACCATTATGTTCCCATAGAAGAATTTCTAGCTGAAAAAGAGAAAGTTGAGGTATGACTTGACTGCTGCTAAAAATGCGTGCTAGCCTCCTAACTGTAAATTTTGCTTTTCCTTAACAGAATAATTCAGGAATCCTAAGTGTAACACTGAACAGTCAAAATAACTAGCAGTTCAGCCTAGCTGTTCTGGTGTTCAATGCTAACCATAAGGATAGAGATGTCTTCTGTCTAACACCACCTGTAGCGTATACCTAAACTTCCTGATCTTTGAGGGCGCAGTTGCATTAAATCCAAGTCATCTTTATCTCTGTAGTGTAATGATTGGAGCACTGAGAGGGAAAGTGTATACAGCAGTCCGGCTTTGTGGAGATCCTTGGGATGTAGAGTAAAAAGCTAGTCTGAAAAGGCTGGTGGAGAATTCAGTACAGGGTAGCTATTGTAATTATAATGGATCTCTGCTCTGAAGGTCTAGAGGGAGGATTGTGGGATAAGAAATTGCAATGAGAAATCAAACTTCATGCAGGAGAGAACTTAATCTCCTGAATGTACTTGTATCTAGAACTGCTCAGAGTTGGCAGCAGTAAGTTGCTATTTCTTTTGCAACTGAGCCACGTTAGCCATGTGCAACTCTATCAGTCTTTACTTCTAGCCTCTGCTGAGATAGCCAAGTGCATGCAGGCAACAGATACGACCTGTGGGTCTCAGTCCTTTCAGAAGGTCTGTAGTGGGAGAACACAACTGTGGTATACACCAGAGGTGCTTTCTCACTGCACTCTCCTGTCCAGGAACCAGTAAGGCATCTCACTCTACTGGTAGGCAGGTTCCTTTCAAGACATGAGGAAAGGGGATTTCTGTTGTAGGTTGTGATATGTAGACATTTCTACTTTTACAGCTCTCCATTCAGGTGCTGACAAGCAAGACTGTATTGTGTAATGGCCTCTTTTTCCAACTCCTTCAGGCTTGTCTTTTTTTCCCCACTTAGACTCTGGTTTTATGTTCACTTAAGCCCTACGTACCTACACCATACTGGGGTGAAGGAAAGGAGTTTTAATAATGCCCTCTGTATCTATAGCTCTTACACTGCCCACAGGGCTGCATAAGGGAAGATTCAAAGAACAAGATGGGCTTGGTAGCAAGTCAGATGAGAAACTGATGAAATTTATAAAGTGTAAAATTCTTGATTGACAAAAGAGAGCACAACATGAAATCTGAGTGAGCAGCTTCAGAGAACCAGAATTAAATGAATAACTTCTTGTGATGGTGACTCTTGTTGGATTTTTCACTCTGAAATATCACCCTAGCGATCTGACAGGTAATGAAGGAGAGACTGAGATTAAAATTTAGCTGTATGAAATATGTTCTTCCTTATTTAGCAAACTAACTGGTAACAGCGTTTAACACAGATAACACTAAAGTTTCCTTTCTGCCATATGGTTACTTTTAATACAGTTTGGAAATCTTCAGATTGCAAGAGTTGACTCCTGTGTAAAGTAACTTCTTCCTAGAAGGTCTTGTGATCTGAGTGTTACTCCTTACTGTTATTCTTCAATGATAACAACTTCCACCTGAAATGATTTAAAAACTGAATATACATGTGCAGTATAATTGAAGGATGTGCAGTAATGTGTCAGATTAAGCAGAAAGTTAGACAAATTCTACCATGTCCCCTTCTTTTTTCAGGATAGAGAGAGTAAAATACTGCAATTGGAAAGGCAACTTGATGAACAGTCAGGAAGGCTGTTGGCTGTGGGAAGTCTGAATTCAGATGTACTGACTACTGAAAGTAACATGGAACTAGGTAGGAATCTAATCTGGATATTTAAAGTTCAATTTACTTTTGGTATTGTGTATAAACAAGCAAACTTTTCTTTTGCCTATAGATCTTACGAACAACATGAAGAGAGCCAATGAAGGATTGCAGAAACAATGCAAAGAAAAGGAAGAGGTAGCTCTTGTTTAGTATTTAACAAATCTGGGGATAACAGTCCTAAACTCTGGCATGATTCAGTGCTTAAATATCTCCACCGTAGACAAAAGCATGAAGATTCCTGCAAACGGCCATCAAGTTCACAAAAAAGCCCTTGCTCAATTCTGGATTATTTTTGCCAGAAACTGACTGTGGTCTGGCTTTACTCTATTTTGTAAAAGCATCTACTACGGTAACAAGTCACATGGTGAACATGATGCAGATTGGAAGTAGGGATAAATATAGCACCTTATATTGGAATGCGTTGTAAACATTGCTGCCATGGCCTCAGTGCTTTCCTTCCTGAAATGCTGCCTGATTGTGCACAGAGGCCTAGTTACAGAGTCTGGTAACAGTTTAGATCTAAAGCCAAAACAGTGCCTTAAACCAGTCCTTCCTTTAAGTACTAAACTCCTCTATCCCCATAGACTGAAGTAAAGGCTAATGTCTCTGTTCTTCAAACAAACAAGATCCTCATGTTCTGAATAGCATATAGAGGTGGAAATTAGGAGCTGCAAGCTGTGTTGTGGAAAACAAATATTAATTATGCATTTTTAGTCTACAGCTTGAATGAACTTCTTGTAAGGCTACAGTTAGTTTTCCATGTTTAAAGAGGATGGGAAGGAGGGAAGAGACAAGCCTTGTTACTTTCACTAATAACAAATACTAGTAGGAGTTGGAGAATTTGTTCCAGCTGTTTCTAATAAACCATGTAAATGGAAAGTGAACTTAAATCCCTTTCTATTGAGAAAGTGTAATCCAAAAATAACTTTTTCCTTACCAACTTTAATGTCTCGTGTTATGGCCCTGGCATTGTTTTCTACTCTTGTTCTTTAGAGCTGTACATCATTTTCCACTTCCTATGTCAATTTCAAATTTTGATGGTAGAAAGAAACTGACTTTTATGCTTGATATGGGGATACAGTATTGATTGTTTTGTGTGGCTGGAAAGTGTTAGAATGACGGGATTGCTGCCTGGCAATAACAGAAGTGAGAGCAGTTTAAAGCAGTTGGTTCCATCAGTGCCCTTCTGCTTCGCCTGAAATATCTGTGCACGTGTGATGAGTAATTCACCACTTCTTTTCCTTCCCTCCCATTCAGCCATTAAACATGTGCAAAGGTGTTTTTTTTTAGCAATTGAGTTGTTTTCCCTCCAACTTTATAGAAGTAAATTAATGACAATTAAGAAGTAAATTAATTAATTGTGCTAGGTCCGAGTTTCTTTTCCCTCTCAGGACTTAATCACCAATATTCCCATCAGAAAGGTGAGGTCTTCTGTTGTAACTGTGCTCCAATTCTTTATATGAATAGCATTAATGAGGTGAGAGCATTCTTTTAACTACCCTTACTGAAAAGGAGCAGACTGTTCCAGAAGTAGCTTAGTCTGTGCGGCTCTTCTTTGACAGGTCTGTGTAAATCTAGTAGCTTCAGCACAATAGCCCTCATATGCTCCAGCTCCATTTTGTCACCAGAAATGACGAGTGGGGACATAGGAGGTTGAGAGCAGCAGGCTTCATCTTCATTGCTTTGATCTTGCAGTTTGCACTGTGCAATATTAAACAGAAATGGTTACAGTGTCTGTATGAGTTCTAGTCATAAACAAAATTAATGTAAAATGTGCTGTCTTGAACTTCAGTATGTATGGGTTTTATTTGCAGCTTATAAAATCTCTGAAGTTTAAAATGCAGAAATTAAATGAAACCCTGCTAGAAGCTAATGAAGGCTGCAGAAAAATGGCAGAGGAGAACAGTCAGCTGAAGCACGCAATCATGCTCAAGGTTTGTCAACAATTTAAAAGCAACTTTAATATGGCTTGTATCTAGCTGTACTGGATGTTTCTGCATCTTTGTACATGTAAAAACACTGTTCAGTCTTAAGGGACAGGATGCCATCTGGAGGGACCTGGACAAGATCAAGAGGTTCAGTAAGGCCAAGTGCAAGGTCCTGCACCTGGGTTGGGGCAACCCCAGGGACCAGTACAGGCTGGGGATGAAGGGATTGAGCGCAGCTCTGGTGAGAAGGACTTGGGGGTATTGTGGAATAAAAAGCTGGACAGGAACTGACAATGTGTGCTCGCAGCCTGGAAGGCCAACCATATCCTGGGCTGCATCAAAAGCAGCTTAACCAGTAGGTCAAAGGAGGGGAATCTGCCCGTCTGCTCTGGTGAGACCCCACCTCGAGTCCTGTGTCCAGCTCTGGAGCCCTCAGCACAGGACAGACATGGAGCTGTTGGAGCGGGTCCAGAGGAGGGCCACAAAGACGATCCAAGGGCTGGAGCACCTCTTCTGTGAGGACAGGCTGAGAGTTGGGGCTGTTCAGCCTGGAGAAGAGAAGGCCCCGGGGAGACCTTATTGTGGCCCTTCAGTACCTGAAGGGGGCTAGAGGAAAGGTGGGGAAAATTGTTTTCAGCAGGGCTTGTTGTGATAGGACAAGGGGTAATGGTTTTAAACTAAGGGAGAGTAGATTTAGACTGGATATAAGGAAGAAATATTTTACAGTGAGTGTGGCAAAACAGTGGCACAGGTTGCCCAGAGAGGTGGTAGTTGCCCCATGCCTGGAAATGTTCAAGGCCAGGTTGGATGGGCCTCTGAGCAACCTGATATATTGGAAGATGTCCGTGCTCACTGAAGGGGGTTTGGGCTAGATGACTTCTAAAGGTCCCTTCTAACCCAAACCATTCTATGGTTCTCTGTTAGCATTATGTTTATACTTAAGTTGGTTTTTTTGCCTTCCTTTTTTCCAGTCCCGAACTTCCTGAATTATGAGCTCTCAGAGCCCTTGTGTTTCTCTCCTTGACTTTGTAAGACAGGACTCATTTTTCAATTTAAGTGATAGATTTGGTCAATACGGTAGCTCTGTGCTGCTAGCATCTAAGGATGCCACAAATTATTGTCAAGCGAAGAAAATACTACTTGGAACTCTAGTGTTTTGCTCAGGGCAAGCAAGGTGTCAGTGCACAAATGTTAGTGCAATAAGACCTAAGGATCTATGGCTTTAAAGCTATACTGACACTCCTGCAGAGGTGGCCAAGCTGGAGAAGGGAAATGGGCAGGTAAACTACTTAATACTGAAATAGGAATCTAGTTGCTCTCTGAGGTCAGATGCTGTAAACTTTATGAAGTCCCTGCTTTTCTCTAAATAATAAAAAAAAATGAAAATTTTGAATGCTTGACATTTTGCATCTATGCCTCATTTGTAGTCTGCAAATGAAGCAAGGCAGTTATAAGACTGTCTAGTCATTTTTCTTCTTTGAACATTAAATTACGTTCTGCAGGCTGCTTAGTCTCAGTCTGAGACTAAAAATTCTTAATCTTGAACTTTGTTTCTTAGATGGTTGTAAGACATAGGAGGGTGACAAGGATTAGAGAGCATCTTTAAGACTCTGTATTCTGCCCACTGAAAGCTCTTATTCAGTCCTGGTTAGCAGACTTATGACTAAGAGTTTTGATTTGACCAGTTTTGCTTTCAGTAATTGCAGCTCGAGACAGGGAAGCCTTCTTTCTTTGGTTCCTAGAACAGCAGCAGTGCTTTGCATAGTGTGGCTAAGCATTTTAGCTTCAGCTTCTTCAGTCAGATTTAGTCTCTAACTAGATTTGATGGCCCTGCAGTTTGCTGTTCCCTAAATTACATAGAAGTATTCAGAATAAATGAGTACTGAACAGCCATTTGGCATAGTAATAACAAGGGTGTTTACTGGTATAGCAAAATAATCTGAAAGAGAAAATAAACTACATGAAAAAGACTTTGGAGTGCCTAATACAGCCTTATCCTCACAGGATCAAGAAATGAATGGTCTTCAGAACTGGGCTAAACGTGTTCTTGAGCTTGAAGAAACAGTGTCTTCCCTACAAAAAGAACTTGATGAACAGAAAAAGCATCTCTCTGTACAGGAGCCAAAACACCAAAAACCCAGGAGAGGTTTGTTGGCTAACCTGAAATCCACAGTAGCAGCCACTGCTAGCACACCTCTAGGTAAAGGCTGGGGGAAGTATGAAGATGCTTCATCCTCTTCAAGAAAACAAGTACTGTTTGCTCATAAAACAAAATAATATTTGATTAATGAAAGCATGGAATTACTGGGCTGCTTTATCAGTCTCAAACTGTTGGTAGCTTTTTCTCACTCTTAGATGCCATCTTCATTGTCATGTTAACTGAGAGAAAAATGTTTAATACAGAACCTTTTAAATTGAATCAGGGTTGAACTTAGAGCTATGCTTATAGATCTGAATTTGTGCTTTTACTGTTGATATGGGGATGTGATTTGAGAGAGATGTATATATAATTTTAATTCTCGAGTAACTGCTGTCATGGTCTTCTGTACTGATAAATGTGAGACTCATGCATAGTGGGATGTTTCTCATCTGCTCTCCTTAACTTTTTAAAATTAAGTATTACATTTTCATTGTTGATTCCTAGAAATCAGATGGCTTGTAAGCTTAATCTCAAGTAGTTAAAATAGCTTGGTTCTTCAGTTCATGCTCTGGTTTTGACCTGGAAACTGCTATCTTGAGACCAAACTGAGCAAACTGCTAAATGTAAAGCCTCATAGAAGAGGCAAGAAAATGAACTCTTTCTTGCTATTTTTCAGTTAATTTGGCTTTGTAAAGGAACTTGTTTTAGTATCATTTGAATTCCCACTAAGAATACGCATTAAACTTTGAAAAATCTATTTATAATAAAAGTTCCCATTGCTAAATTAAGCTCTGACTGTTCATTTTCTAAAGATGAGAAAAATCAGTGAAAACAAGATAAAGATCATAAACTTAGATGCCAAATGATCAGTGTGATTGGTGTATGATGATCTTGAGTTGAAAGAATCGTAGCCCTGATTATAGTACTTACCTTTAGTAACTCAAGGAAGGCTGGAGCATGATTTGAAATAGCTTTCTTCGAGCCGTTTCAGTCAGTGAGGGTGAGAGTTTTTTCCTAACTGCTGTGAAAGTACCATGCCTGCAAGTGCTGGAGCAGTGCTTTAGACCAAGGCAGAATCTGTAAGCAGCTGGGACTGATCTGTCCCTGTAAAGCTGTTTCCCACAGCGGAGGGGGACCCAGCGCTCATCCTCCCTGTGAAGGCACTAGGTGGTGCAGCCTTCCCGTGTGACACCGGGGACAGCCCTTCTCCGCTGTGACTCCTCTTGCCAGGGCTATGGAGTTGTCTGGTTGGTCTGTGCAGATGCAGGGACAAGTAATCACTCTGGCAGGGCTTTAGCCAGGCTGGAGATATAGCTCTTGAGCCAGTGCTTTCTCATGTTTTGAACTGTTTCTGTTAAATACAGGTTATCTGGATCCAGTAGCTCTAAAGGCCTATAATCCCTCCAGGCTCAAATTTCTAAAATATTATTCTACTTTCACACAAACTATTCCAGCTATTAAAAAAATATTTTGGTGCAATGATACAATACACTGAGTGTTGAAATAGAATAAGAAATATTGAATAAGAAAGCTGTTATACAAATTGTTTTAAGAACAGCGCTATAAAAAAAAAAAAAAATCATCAGACCAGGCTAATGCTGGAAGCTTTCTGTAATACCATTTCAAACAATCTAGTGCTACAGCTTGACAGTCTGTCACTTGTCTGAGAGTGTATCTTAGCAAGTTTATAGAGCACTAACTGTAACCTCCTATTTGCTGAGTATCTGCTGTTTCCGTGTTCCCTCCTACCTCCGAAAGCTCTTTGGTTGGCTACAGGAAATGGTTTGAAAGACAAGGTTACATTAGCCCAAGCTATTTTTTTTTTCCTTTAAAATAAAATGAAGCCTGTAGTGAAGTACTGACCAATTCTTAACTGTAATGTTTGCCAGAGAGTTGCAATGGGCTGTGTTACTATTACATTAAAGACTTTTGAGAAGCTGTTTTAAATGACAGCTGAGGACTGACTTCCTCTCTTCCTGCCCTGCAGACCAAAAAGAAACCCCAACAAGGATGCAGAAATGGCTGCTTCAGTCCTTTTCAGCTTCTTGAAGCTGAATGGGTGTGAGGGAAGCAGAATCCATTATTCTTGTTAGTGATGATGAGCAGATGTTCCCCTGTTCCATGTGAAGCTGCCCCTCTGGATAGAACATCAGCAATTTGTTTTATCTCAAATTACTGCCATACAACTTGCTTCAGATTAAGTTGTTTATTAAAATTAAAAATCACCATACAATAGAAACTATTTACATATTTAACTGATAGTCTGCTTAAACTGCACAGTTTGACTGAAGGAAGCCAATGGAAAAGAAAAGCAATTAGTATTTATGCTGCTGAACTCCAACTGCAGGCACACTGAAGCTTTGTCAAAAAGTCTGTAAGCTTCTGAAAGTACCATTTGCCTAAATAATTGGGCTGAGGGGTGGCAAAGATGTACTGGGTTTTACTGTAAGAACCGGTGTCACTTTGAGGGAAAAAAGAAGTAATCTGTGCTGCAGTCACATTGCAATTGCACTAGCTCAGCTGTTTTGGTAATTGGATAGAACAATTCAATGTGTACACGTAGAGCTTAGCAAACTGCATTCACTGTTATGAATTAGATTTATGTACTGAGCAACAAACCTATAGTGTCACTGCAGTGTAACTTGGTATCCTGTTGCATATTTCCACAAATTGTTTTTGATAGCGCTAGAGCTAGTTTTAGCTTTAAAACAGATTTGAGGTTAGTTGATTAAAGCAGCAAAAATATAAGGAATATTCTTGAATAATCACAGAGGATTAAAAATTAAGATTAAAATATTTTCACTGGTAACAGTCTCAGTGACTGCAATGAATGTATTAACTTCCTTCAAAATCCTGTGCTTTCCCTTGGACTTCAGATGGTGGCTTTGGCCTTGTGGGAACCTGAAGGTTGAACACAGAGCTAGGTGGGCTGCTGCTTCTGCTGTCATGCATGTTCATATTACATGTCTGCATCTCTGATGGCTGTGCGATGCTTTGAAAAATGATTTTAAATTTAGTATGAGTGATACAGCAGTAAAACAGAATAATCTTCAGTGTAAAGAGTTACATACATAATCTTTCCTTAAAGGAAACCATGACACTGTTTAGAAAGTCTTACAAGTGGTGACAGTACTCCAGATACTAATGTGAAATAACAAGGATATAAAAATAATTTTCACAATATGCTGTATTTCAAAAAAGATTATTTATGAACATCACCATATCTTAAATCTGTATGTTCTCCTTCATGACTTTTTCTTTTGGAAACAGCTGTTTGTGCATCTTCTCACCCGTTTTATAAAGGTCTCCTTGTAATGTATTGCATGACTTAGCTCCTAAGCAGGCGTTGTCAGCCTGTACCAGTGCACGATCTCTTTCCTTCCTTTTCCCTCCCCACCCCAAAAAGCCTGCTTGCTTTGGGATGTTTCTGCAGATGCGAAACACAGAGCATTTAAAGAGAACTTCAAGCTTTAGAGGAACTGTTTTAACCAAATAAAACCATTATTATTTCTGTGCAGAATTATTCTTTCCTTCAGCATTTCAGCTTCCACACTCAGTTAAGACATCCAAACGCATGAAGTAATTGGTTTGAGCAGTCTGTCCAAATAATAGTCTGTGCCAATGATCCATGTCAATAGAAAAAGTGTTCTTTGTTCTATGGCTGTTGCTGATACTGCCCTTCTGTTGCTGTGTAGAAGTCATCAAGCACACTCTGTAGATAATCAAATGTTGGCCTCTCTTCTGCTTTGTCTTTCCAGCATGTTTTCATGATATCATAAAGCTCAGCTGGACAGGTTTCCATGCGTGGCATTCGGTACCCGCGCTGAAGAGCAACCATCACATCTGAATTGCTCATACCTTCCACAAAAAAAAAGAATGTTGTGATGAAATGATCTCAATTCCTAAAGACATGATTTTTTTTCTATTTTATTTACTTCACTCTAAGGACCTTCACCCAATAATATGAGACTATTGCTACATATTAAAGGTGGCTACTAATGTGAGTTAAATTAACAAGGCCGAGGTGTGCACCAGCACCGAGGGGCTTGCTCTGAAAATCCTGAGGGGAAGAGTTCCATCTCTCCAGTTGAGCGTAGGGACCTCTTTAGTGCCAAGTCTAACTGGGCTGTGGGAGGGATCATCATTCTCGTCTCCACAGCCAGCTGCATTCTGCTCCTCTGCCCAGTCCTGCCGCCGTTTGTTCTGCTTTCAGTGGTGGTGAGATTCCCAGCAGAAGCCCACCCTGGTGTCAGCCTTTGTCTCTAGCTGCAGAGCTGCTAACCTGCTCGACCTGGACCCTGTCCATACTGAGACAGAGAGCAGCCCACCTGTTTGACCACACTGCCAGCCACCCTGCCCGATGGAGCAACACACCTTCAGATTTTCTTCTACATCAGCTTTTGTGTAAGTGTTGCTGATTGCAAGATACTGGACATAGTCACTTCCTCTCCCTTCTTCCTCGTCCTGTTCCTATTGTGCAAAACCATCTCGCCAGCTGTGCTGAGCTTTGCTTTGCTTCCCTGCTATGGCTTTCTTGCAGAGGATAAGATTTGTCACTGCCAGAAGCGCATCCTGAGCCTCACACACCAACTAACGTCACGTGAGAGGCCTGCCTGGCCTCCAGCTGCCTCCTCCTTGTTTTTTTTTTTTTCCCCCCACTTCCCCCTTTTTTAAATCCTGGAAATCTTGGTTCTCAGAAGGAATTCAGCACCTACTCTCAGCGGGTCAGCTATGCCAGGGCCAACAAAAAGGCTCACCCCTTCCGACCCAGAAACCAGCCTTTCAGCGTGTCCCTTCCTCTGCAAACCTTACGCAAGCCTGTGGGGTAATTGTGCCAGGATTACCTTCTCCAGGACACAGACTCTAAACTTTCTGTACTCCAGCGAATGCTGTTCCTCCCGATGGCTGGGCATGCAGGTAGCACCTGTGCTTCAGCCTAGAGATTTGTTACCAGCAGTGAAGACCCTCCCTTTTGAGCAGGGTACTCAGACCCCACAGCCACTGGCCGCTCCTCAGGCTAAATACTCCATGTGGTGCAGTTCTGCCTAGGACTACAGTTTCTCATGGGTTTTCTTAGGCAGGTCGGCCGCCGGTCGGGTGCGTGCATGACATTCACTGCTCCAGCTCACACCAGTTCCCCGGAGGTCTGGGAGAGCAGCTACACCCTGCTGAGGGGAGGCAGGACGGGTCCTGCGCCGAGCAAGGTCGGTAGCGGAGATGCAGATGTGGTGCTCCCCCGACCGCTTCGTGTCTGTGCAGCTCTGTTGCTGCAGACTGTGCACATCGTTGTGCGTGTTATCTTACTACTAAAGCTATGATTTAAGCCACTTGGCAGGTAAGGACATGTTTGAATTACAACCAAATGACAACTTTATCCGGTATAAGTACTTTGATTATTCAAGATGACTATAGCTCATGTAGTTGACTTCAGTTCAAGCCTTTTGGCTTCAACCTAGTCTAGAAATAGTCAGCCATAAAATCTGGGTCTGGATCAGAGTGCTTCCTTTGGGCACATTTTTTTATATTTTCAGTTCCTCTTTGGAAAAAGGAGTGAAGTTATTCTGAGCTAACATTGCACACGTGTAGAAAAACCAGTATTTCGAAGGTAGCAGTGGAACGGCATGTTGTCACAGAATAAGGAATTAATGCTATATAAAGACAAAATAAATACAGGAAGAAAGTTGATCAAGCATTTTATAGAGAACGGTGATCGGACTGCTTGAGCTTGAAGAAATGGATTGTATATAATTTATGCAGTAAAACAGTTATTCATACTGTGCGAAGTCTTAGTTAACCATGTGTAATGCATGAGGACTGCTGCTGCTGGGTTTTGCACAGAACGGGGCTGGTTCTGTGGGTTTAAGCACTTGACAGGATTGTGCTTAGATCAAGCGTCTGCAGGACTGATTGTTACGCTCTGAATGCCAAGGACAAAGCCTGTGTTTCAGCTAACTTGCAGGAAAACTATCTGTTAAATAGCCATTTAAGTTCACGAGGCAAAAGACTTTTATCAGTCAGTTCCACAGTCAATACAATGTCACGAACACACTTGCATATGTTTAGGGTTTTATTTAAAACAAAAAAGCTCACCTGTCTACCCACAGTCCGTGCAGTATTCTCAAAATAGCTACTTGTTTAACTTTTCCTTTTTTTTCCTTTTTTTTTTTTTTTTTGTGGCTAGTGAATTACCTGTCCCATCAAAACTACATCCTAATCAGCAAAAGAAATATATCCCACGTGCGTATGTGTTACACTTATACCCTCTTAAATACCCTCTTACATCCTAATCAGTAAAATAAATATATCCCACGTGCATATTTGTTACATTTATACCCTCTTCAATGCTAGCAAAGGATGTTAGCTCTAAAGGTTTAGCACATGTCTGTTAATTTACACCGTGGTACCTGTTAAGCATCACATATAGAGACACATTTACTTGTGCTAGAGCCTGGGAAATTCGGTGAACATGTTGTCCCGAAATTAAGATTCTTTTACCCGGTGTGCAAAAAGCAGTGGTACGGCGGAAGAACCCCACCGTATAGAAGGTGGCAGATCTTGTGCAGAACAGCTGACATAACTGAAATCCAAGTACGGAGGTTGCCAGTGTTTGACATACTATACAATCACCAGGAAATTAGTTTTAACAACTAATTCAACTTATTTGCCTAAAGATTGAGATACTTGTTTCATATTTCAGAGGTGGTTCCTAAAATTATAGTCCCACTAATTGCTTTGAGTTTCTCAGGAAGAGAAACAGCTGCTGGAATTAAGAACAAAGGTCAAAAAAGCCCCAGGTTTCTTGCCTGGAAATGCTTCCTACCAAGTTGCCTGCCTAGATTTTCTTCACAGGTATTAACTACTTGCAACTCAAACTGTTTCATATACAGCTTTATGCTGGATACTGTCTAGTTGCTGGAGCTGGTTAATAATTGAAAATAATATTTTGAAGCATTCCCATTAGAACTGAAAAATCAATTTGCAGTTTCTCTCCAGTGGCTGCTGGTTGCAGCCGATCACCAAGTTACTCTTGCCATGCTGGGGTAATTTGCCCCAAACTGTCACAACTCTTCATGTAAAGTAAACTGGTCACCCGTTTATTTTTCTGTCCTTCTGATTCTTCAGTATCAACTTTCAGTCTAATTGGCTATTTCAGTTCACACTTCGATGTAAAATACACGTATATGCCTCTTCCAGTTTAATGCAAGCAATGCCTGCAAACTATTAAAATCTTCCAGTATGCACTCAAGAGGCTTCTGCTTCTAATTGCTGGTTGACAAACGAATCCACAGTGTATGGCCTGTTTATGGTGCTCATAAAAATGCTCCCATATTTGAAAAAAATATTGCCCAGACTTCCCCTAGAAGAGATATTTTCCCACAGTAGTACAGCAGTACAGTGTCTGCTGTACAGATTGATTTTGTTCTTAAAAGAAAAATATGTTTTATGGAGGTACAGACTGATTTTGTTCTTACAATAAAAATATGGTATGTTTTACAGAGGTAAAGAGAGAGCAGACTTAGCTGCAGAATTAAGTATTGGATTGGGTTTTGTATGTTTGTAGTGCTGGTTTCCAGGTGAGCTCGTAGGTTTGCTCAGGCAAGGACAATTTTCACGCATCCAGAAATCACCTTGTGAGCCCAGCTCAGCGGAGGCAACTGTCTGTTTACATGGGCATGTGCTAATGGGAAAAATAAGTATCCCAGCTGTGGGAGGAACCATGCGCTGCTGGGCTGCGTACAGCTCCCATCTGACCCTCCCTGGGGAGGTGACCACTGTTTAGAATAGCTTTGGGAGGACCTGCTGCTCGGTCACGTATTTTATAGCCCTTACCTAAAAACCAGCCTGGAGCATATGTTCAAACGCTTTGCTGTGCAAGCAGCCCTATCACCTCTGGAAGTTTAAGGGGGCTACTCTTGAGCTTAAGTGCTTCCCTGGACTGGAGCCTTACCGAGCAATGAGAACGTCTGGTTTGGCTCTCCCTCTTGTATGGAAAGCTGATATGTTCTTCCATAACGTAGCGTAAAGCTGGCTGCCATCACCCCTTCCCCGCTGCCCGTGTCTCGTGGGGCGTCCGGTCTCCCTGTGCCCAGAGGTGTTGAGCCTACTGTCGTTTCAGGGACTCGAGTCTGCCCCTTTGCTGTCTCTGGCAGCTCAGGAGGCAGAATTCCAGCTGCTCACAGAGTGCTGGGGAAAATGTTCTCGCTGTTTAAACATCAAGAGCTGCTGCACTGGAAGCGCTGGGAAAGCGTTGCTTGGATGAAATATCTGTTCTCCCTTCACTGCCTGTAAACTGCAGGATCCTAAGGGTTCTTCTCAGAAGATACTCCACCTGTGAGATGTACTGTATGGGTGAACATGGCTGTACTTTCCCCACTTGCCCACAAGATAAGAGAATTTAGGTAAATTTTCCATAATCTCAGTAAGCTTAAATGAATGCAATCTGCCGCCCAGAGTTAATCAGCCATGCCTCAGATGTAACAACTTTGTGTGCATCAAAATACCCTTCCTGCAAGCTGTCTCTGTGTGCTGGGAACATTAATACATATTTTGTTTAACAGAAAGAAAAATGAAACACAAAGTACATAACCATTTCACAGCTACTTAATGCAGCCACAACTGATGTACTCCTCTGTGGTACCTCGTGCGTGAACCGTATGGAACAACGAAGAGTAAATATTCCTAGGGGTACGTCCACAATGCGTTAACGTCTGCTTTGATATTTATTTAGATTAGCTAACACTCACAAATTCTTACAGCCTAATTGCTTGTGAAAACATGCTTTCTGAGTACTTTCACACGTTACGATACTGAAAACCCCAGCAGCTTACACAGCACCGTCAGAACTTGTAGCACTGCATCCTCGCTGTGGGACCGAGCCGCTGACCGTAAAGCCGGGATCTGTGACAATGCAGTGTTCGCTGCAGCTGTAACACCTTTTGAATATATAAAAATGACCACACGTTCATGGTGCCCTTAGTCTGTTTGCTAAAATTTACCCCAGAGAGGCACGCGGTTTACACGTATGGTGACTATAAGTTTTCAAAGCAGTAACATTACCTGCAGGACATTTTCCAAATCACTGCTGTCGCTACTGTCTGATGCCAGCTCTTTTCCTGCGCATTTTCTT